AGAGAGAGAGAGAGAGAGAGAGAGAGAGAGAGAGAGAGAGAGAGAGAGAGAGAGAGAGAGAGAGGAGGAGAGAGTTGAGATCGATGGATGCGGATTTGTTGTTTCTTTGTCTCTTCCCCCTCTTCATCTGTGTACATACATTTTGATTACGGCTCCGGGCGGTTTGCCCGTTCTTATTTTCGTTTCGACTTTCTGAGATTTGGGCTTGGGTTTTTGCTCACACTTATCTTTGCTATGGCATTATATGTATGATTATCGAATGTATGGATGTAGTAATGTATGGATGTGTGGACGTTATGCCTGTCTATATATCTTTTTTTGAGAATCCCTGTCCTTGCCTTTTGGTTGTGTCGAATCTTTTCCCACACCTGATGCAGTTGTAGATGGGAAAGGAATATGGCCCCGATAGCGATTTTGTCCTCGTTTTTGCTTATCTCACGATGAGGGTTGTGATATGGTTGCATCTAACATAATCCGAAGCAATTAAACGATCCGAGGTCTGGCTGGCGAGACGCCACGTGAGAACACGTGTAAACGCGATCCGAGTCGCGCCCTTACACGCATTCCCGTGCGACGACTCGCTCCCCCAGAAAGGAGTCACGACGGAACCATCATCCCGTACGAGCACGCTGAGGCGCCACTGAATCGGCCTGTCCCGCACGTGCTTGTACGCGGTGACGAAAATCCGACCCGCGCTATCCCACCGACGATGATACCATGACGCGATCTTGGAACTCATACTCGTCCTACGACCCGGACTATTTCACCCCTATAATAAACGAGCTCATAAGGACACGATACCCCTGTCACACGGAGAATTGGTTATGTCCTCGGGAATTCCACTGTGCTACCACTAGCGACCCTCGGTGCTCCGATTTCCCTTCCCCTGACCACACATACTACTTCACCCACCCAGGATTCGTTGAGATCACCACCAGTTTCCCTCCTTTCCGCCTCCTTCTCCCGTATCATCAACTCAGTGTCGTTCCGTGGCCGGCCATAGCCCCCTATTGGCCCAACACGTTTTGCGTGAACTGCCGACGCAACGGCGCGCAGAACACTCCGGAATTTTGGAGGCCCAACCTAGGTACGCGGCGGCCTGCGCCGCCTGGCGGCCCCCGACGGCCTAACTTTTCAGGACCACCTCCACCACGGAGGAATTTTCCCATAACCCGTCGCCCACAGTGTCCCGGCCCCATCGGACCGTGAGTCCCTTGCGCACGCTCGCCTAATTGCATTCATACCCTTAAGACTCCCCCACTTTTCCCCAAAATCCTTGGCACACCCCTTTTCGCACTTCCAGGCCCATACCCCACTCCGATCAGGAAGTCGCGCTGGGCGTGAGGTTGGGCGTCACAGTGTCCTCCCTCGTACCCCCACTCCGACCATTTTTTTTCGTGAGTGCGCCTCGTTTCCCGACCATCAGAACAGAGCGGCGATGTCTTTTAGTGCAGTCAGAGAGCTCATCTCATTCTGCCACTGCATCTCGAGCAAACCCTTCTAGAGTAAGTGGAGCCAAGACTTTTTTTTCGAAAGTTTTGCACGTCTGACAGCTCTAGAAGGACTCACGAAACTTTTCGTGAGTCGAGAGTAGTGGAGCGAGACCCAGTATCTACTCACCAAAATGGCGTGGGTTCTTGAATCCATCGTCGCTCCACTACTACCTCATGAAACACACTCACCAAAATGCATTTCTTCAGTTGTCAGAACCTTCTCTCCCGTGGCACTCTTGATGCTTTGGGAGCTCCCGCCTGCAGCGGTGGGAATTTCAAGGGAGGGATCCAGGACCTTCGAAAGTTGAGCATTGGGATCCAGGACCTTCGAAAGTTGAGCATTTTTTTCTAGTGCACCTGGAGTCTGGGCGGACAACAACGTGCTGGCCGTGTCCTGTAGCTCTCTCTCAATGAGGGGTCTGACATCCGAGAGGCCTTCTTGAGTTTGGCCTTCTAGAGTAAGTGGAGCTATGTTCTCTTTTTCAGTCGTTTCTAGAGTCTGACAGCTCTACACTCACTCTCGAAAATCATAGCGTAGTGGAGGGAGACCCCTACAGTAGGCTCTTGGGTTTTCACCGGAGGTTCACCGACGACGTCTCTGGGAGGCTTACATGAATACAGACATATCATCAAAAATATATATATATATATATCGTCACAAATAGAACTGCCCGGTAAACCGTAGGCAGAGAGAGAGAAGAGGACAACAAACGAGGGGCTGTGACAAACTGTTTCGTCGGAGTTTCATATATATATATATTCCACCGCGCTTCACTACTCTCGAAATGCGCAGAATGAGACTGAATCTTCCCCTAGAACATGGAAAGGTACACCACCATGATTTTTTGCTTTTGTGCGTTTCGAGAGTAGTGGAGCGAGGCCCTTCGGGACAAACGTTAAAATTGGAACGATACAGAGAAGGGTAGATTAGCAAATGGCCCCTGCGCACTCCATGATGACACGCATAAATCGAGTAGTGGAGCGACGCCCATGCTATGCAACCTTGCCTGCGGCCTTTCCGTGGCCACTACCAAATATGGACCGGCAGTCTTTTTTCTTTCTTTCTTTTTTTTTGTCTTTTGGACCAGGAGCATGGTCCTACTAGCAATGGGGATTGGATTAAGATCCTGAATCTGGTCGTGATTTAGGAAGAGATGCAGAAAAGGAGTTCAATCTCGATTTTTTGCACTAGTCCACAAACTCGGCCAGATTCAGGCGTTCAATCCAAACCTCTTTGCTAGTGGGACCTCGCCCCGGCAGTCTTTCGCGACATCATCCGTTCAAATTGGAACACTTTTTTTTTTTTTTTTTTTTTTTTTTTTGGGA